TATACAGGGTATCTTTTAGGGAAATTGAAATTACTATCAAAATTAGATTCTTAAACACTAAAACGGCAAGAATTTTTGATCCATAAATCAAACTTTCGTGTTAAATCAAGTCGTAAGTCACGGAGGTTAATCATTAAGAAAGGGTACTGTATATCTGCGCTGTACAAAATAATAACCCCTGCGACTTTCCGTATTTTAGGCGGGACCACCAGATGGTGCAGTATTACAAGCACCCGATATTTCTGCAGGTTTAAATGGCAGATTTGGATATTTTTCAATAAATATAAATAAATGGAACTAAAATTCTTTTATTATCGACTGTAATCAATAAGACATATTTCTGCGCATCACTTCGGAAATTTGTATACTTTCCATAGTCCCGTATGTAATTATTATAGCAAATTGAATAGACGACAAAGTGATATTTTTCTAAAGATTTTTTTTTTACTATGCAATAACGATTGGAGCAAGAAATAACAGATATATAGGAAGGTTGTCGGAAAGGTCAATAAATGGGTGCCTTATAGAGCTATCGGGTACTCTAGGACCCCTAGCGCCAGGAAAGTCCGTGTCGTAAGTTATAGGTTTCAACTAATTTACATGTGCACATACTAGAGGCCACCTTTGTCGAGTAAAACGATGAATTTTTTAATAAAATACTAGAAGAATTGCTGCCCGCAGCTCCGGTTACATGGATTTCGCAATTTGGAGAAATCATTTTTCATCCCGTTCACTCCCCCTCCCTAGTGAACCCGTCTAACTTAAAAACTCACAGGACTCTCACACAAACTTTCATCCGCTATTTTACCCCCCTTAGGGGCGAAATCTCCAAAAATCCTTTGTTAGTGGATTAGTGTTAACACAAAAGGAACCTACTCTCCCAATTTCATGTTTCTGGCTTTAGTAGTTTAGGCTCTGTGTTCGATGAATCAGTCAGTCTGTCAGTCAGGACAAACACTTTTATATGTATAATTGTATACATATTAAGATAAAGAAAAAGAAAAACAACCTCGTCTAAACATCAATTTATTGCAAAGCATACTTTAAATTATCATTGTTTACTACTAAGAAATCAACAGTAAGTCGGTTTTTTATTGCCTTTTGAATCGTTTGAAAGTAGTAACCAATGTTCTTCTTCTTTGATGTAATTCAAAAAATTTAAACATTTTACTCAAAAATTGTAGTTTTGTTACAAGAAATAAGAAATTTTGTGTTTTTTTACACCAAACGTTCTGGACCCCTGATACACAATCAAAAGCGCATGCTTCCAAAAATACATGTAATAAATTTTATTTGCTACTGCAGTATTAGAAATTCTGATAGATTCTTTATGTAATTAGAGATAAATTGTAAAATTTAGTAATCCAGTTTAATTTTTTATGGACCAACTGTATGCATACATAGGTATTTGAAAGAAACACATTATAGTACATATTTCAAGTCAATTTTGTTTAATAGTAATTTGGTAAGAGAACATCATCGATTTTTGGGAGAGGGTCTTAAAATAATTAGACTTTACTTTTCCAGTTAATCAATCAAGTAGTTATGGAGATATATACCTATTAAAAAAATTTCAAACAAACATACTAAAAACAGATTCCGAAACTTGAAATGAAGTTCAAGCATGTATTAATAAAATGTCTTCAAGAGAGCACTTGCACATTATTTGTCTTATTGCAGTTACTGCAGTTAAATTCATCATGTATTTACAGAGTAGGATAGATGCATCTCTGCTGCGACCAAGTATTTGTAATTATCGTTTGATGAAGTAGGTGCTTAGGTTTTTTCAATGTTAGGTTGCAAAACTGTATTATTATACAAAAGTAGTTTGCATACATATACTTGATAATTATGTCAGTTTCAATGACAAGTTCCCCTCTCTGGTATACTTGAATAACAACTACAGGAACGATTGATCGGTATTTTTACGATAGAAAAGGATTTCGTTAATTGCATTTAAAAAAAAAAATAAGTTTGCTTTTTTTGTGGGCTAAGTTTCTCGCTCTAATGTTATGATAGTTTTGAAATGCCGCCGTAGTAGTCAAGTCCTTACTTTTTCCAACAGTGGTGGCGGAAATAAAAAACTGTAGCATGTCATGATGAATATTTTAAGGAATTGGGGAGATAAATATGCAATATGGGCGGGAAGGAGTATTAAACAAACTCTTTGCATTTTTAATTTAATGGATCTTTTCAAAGAATTATTATTAAGCTATGGGGCTTAAATATAAATACGAAAACCAATTTGAAATACAAAATGCATTTATTTAGATGAAATTATGGATATACAGAAATGGTTGCCAGGTAAAACATGGGTCAACGATAGGATGCCTAGAAAAGACATTAAAGTTATGAAAAAGGACAGCGTTTTACCATTTTACGTGCCAGAAGTTCTTTTCGAGATTACCAGAAAACTGTGAATGCAAGTCGTTTTAAAAAATTGGGTAATAGCATAACTTATACCCCCAGTAGTTTCTTCCAAGACAAGTTCAGAAACTGTTGTAATCATGGATAATGCTGATTACCGCTCAGAAAAACTAGGAAAGCCACCAACACAATCTGCTGAAAAAATCGTTTCTTCAAAATTACCTACGACAAAAGAACATACAAACTAGCATACCCCATTCTAAAAAGCTCAACCAAGCAAACTAGACTAAAGATGTGAGGAACTTCTCGATAATATTTCACCAATTATGATCTCTCCTGCAGAGATCCTTAACCTTCAAACTACCGGGTGGGAAAAATTACACATCGTTTCGGGTGGGGTCCGTTTGGACCCCATGGCCTTATTTAGCCAAAATTAAAGAATTAATCAAAAATTTTTGGCGAATCCAATTTATTTATTAATTTTAAACACAACCAAGTTAAAAAAATTACATAACAATATTAAATAAGCATTTTTTGTTACAGTTTGTTGTCCCAGCATTCCTGACATTCAACAGTATGAGTAGAATGTTCTCGGCAAACAAATCTTTTGCAGGAAATGCAAAAATTTCTTGATTTCTGTCCCTGCTACTTATACAGACGAAACAGCGTCCGCGGGATTGTACTGATATCGATTTTGATAACGTGCTATTGATAAAACAAAATTTAATTTTTTACAGTCATTATATTGTCACACCGACACCGATACTGACACCTGCAAGTCTGTATCAAAACTGCAACGCCGTCTATAAACTTCTAAAGAATAAAACAATGGTTTTTGTGAGACTAAATTCTCAGAATAAGACCTGCAAGTGCAATAAAATCTCCAAAATATAGACAAAAAAATGGCAACATAAAGAACCAGGTGGGGTCCATGCGGACCCCAAGAGACAATTTTTTTTTTTTGTAACAAACTGTTACACCTATAAAATTGATATTTTTTTAATGCATAGCAAAAGGCCTTAATCGAAGCTACTAAAAATACCACTATGTTTAAACCAGAAATAACTGGAAAAAATAGGAAAATGTATCAATGGGGTCCATTTGGACCCCACCCGGTAGTTTGAAGGTTAAATAAAACGTGCATTGTAAAAGTTCATGTTCTCTGTGTATTTTTAGGAAGACTACCTTCTCCAATTTTTTCTAGTTAATGAATAATTTGTCGCAAATAACGAATCACCAAGGAAACTTAATGACGTTTGATTGCTTTTATTACAAATCACGGAATTAAACAATAGTTTAGATCATGGATACGCGCATTGATTTTTAAAGAATGACGTGTACACATGCGATTCTCACGATTATGAATAATAAAACAATTTCTTATCAAAAAATCTTGTTATGTTTAGATGCGAACGCGATATTCATTAGTTGCTTTTTGTGAGTAGTGGAGCACATTAACGAAATTTGAATTATAGCAGCGCAGTACTTTTTCTTCTGAAGAGCTAAACGTTTATTCAGACGTGTGTTGAATTCTTTGTTTCCCGTAAACCTCGCAAACTTCAAGAGATCCAAATGTACTTATACAGCAAAAAGTTTGTACACTAAGTTAATCAAATTTAAAACATTGATAGAAATAAGTCGACGCCACATGTGTATATAGATACTTTTACTAAGATCTGCTTACATGTTTCGATACAATCGTATTATCTTCAGAGCTACATATTATTCAATAGTATTCCGTCTTTCACATAACTATGGTGTAGGTAGCCATTACCTGTTATCCATAAAATACATAATGTAAATTCTATGTTTCTCTAATGGGAAGTGTTCACTAACTTTGTGTTTTTGATACTCAATTTTTGCTGTTGCTCTGAAGGTGATACGATTGTATCGAAACGTGTAAGCAAACCTTAGTAAAAGTATCCATATATGTGGCGTCGACTTATTTCTTTCATCAATTACTGAATTTAAGTTAATCAAAACCCATACATACATCTAATTTTGAATCGCCCAAAATGTTGACCAATAATATCTCAGAAATTTTTCAGTAACCTCAAATTCATCCTACAGAGCTGGTCTTGAATTTATCTTAAAAAAACCTTATTTTGGGTTTTACACTCTTGTAGAATAAATGTGATTCGTATCAACTTAATACCAAGTAGGAAACAGAAACTGTTTAACACATGCACTTGCGCCGTTGAAAACGCATTCATTGAAAATTTGTATTTAAATTGTGCACTTTATATGCATGTTCGAAGTACTATTTTTAAAAAGAACATGTTTTTCTCAAATATGGTTCATTATGATTTAAACAGAGATTTTTTAATCGCATATTTATCACGCACAAAACGGAATTCAGGTTTTGAAGTTACACTTGCTTCCAAATCCTCAAAACGTGAATGCGCTTTGTCCCTCTTGTTGTATTAAAATAAGAACGTAGTAGAAAATATGAACATTTTTTTACTTTTACTTTTATAACAGTAAATACACCAAGACAGTTATCAAAATCAATTCTTTATCATATTTATCACATGTTTTATTTAATATTGCTTAATTACAAAATACTTCCATTCTCTATTTTTCAGAAACTGTATATTCATACACATTTTATAATTGTTTTGTAATTGTTTCAGGGATCAAATGCCCAGTTTGCAGCAAATTTGTTATTCCTGATGACATAGAATGTCACCTAGTCATGTGCCTCACTAAACCACGGCTTTCCTACAACGGTAAATATATTTATAATCGCTGAAAATAATGTAAACACAAAGAAAAATTGTTTTTTAGAAGACGTTTTGACTGACGATAAAGGAGAGTGTGTGATATGCCTAGAAGAATTAAGTCAGGGAGATGTAATAGCCCGTCTTCCTTGTCTTTGTATATATCATAAGATGTAAATCTTAATGTATCTCTTCTGTTTGTCAGAATTTTTAATGTTTTTTTCTTTCGTAGGTGCATAGATCAATGGTTTGAAGTAAATCGATCGTGTCCCGAACATCCTGGTGACTAGCAAAACGCTGTTGTAAACTAGGGTTTGTATATATGTACATAATATGCTGAAGTGAATTGTGAGAAACAATCTTAAATAATGCAGTAGCTACAGTACACTATAGCAGTCTTCAGATAACGAAGATTAAAACAATAGTTACCTATCCTAATTAATTAAGTACCACATTGTTATTGTTTTGTCATTTTTTACGATTTTCTATATAGTAGTTTTAATAATATGATTACTACCAAGGCATTCGACAAAAATATTGTTATAGTGTTTACATATCAATTTGTTTTATTACGACAAAATAATTAAACAATTTTCTTTACATGGTGCATAGTTTGTTCTGAACTGTCTTCACTGATAAGCGTTGATAGTGATTTGTATGTTAATGCGGCAGCTACGGGTCTAGTGTTATGATGAGATAAAGTTTTATTTTCTGGAAAAAAATGAAATATTTTTGATACTTTCATATGACTGTTAACAAAACGATTTGATTTGTCTAAATTATTAAAACTTATTTGTGAGACATCATATTCTTCTATCGTATTCCTTTAAAAGTATTATCTCAAATCTCATAATAATTAATGTCACATATATCTAAAGGACACAACATTATTATGACTTAAGTTTAAGTTAACAGATACTGTTAAGTCAGCTTAAATCATCAAAGTCATAAATAGCAGAATTCAATAATTGCTTAATAAAAAATGATTTAATCTGAACTGTGACATTTCAAAAAATAATTTTAATATGTATACAATTGGTCCCAACTTTGTTGGTTTCTTATGTCCTCTTTTATAACTTATATGCCATTCTTTCCATTTTGTATATTTTTTGTTGAAAACTACAAAATGATGTTCTTGTTTTTATCACTTTGAATGCAAAAACACAACGGGTCGTTTGAAATCACATCTTTTTTAGCATCAATGAACCCTTATTCTAAAAACACTTTTACACAAATCGTTGTAATTGTTTTTTCGGGAACTTTGTATTTAAAAATGTATGCCGCATCATTGCAAAGCATTGCTAAAAGGATGTTTTGTTTTCTTCTTTGTAGAAGAGACGTGTTAAAATATTAAACTATTGCTGTATATACAAGTATTTTTTTAAATTAAAAATAAACAGAAGCCTTGGTCATGTTAGTTCAGTACCAAAACAGGCTGGTAGTGATATGAGCAACCTATTTTTTATTCTAGCCAATGTGAATGTGAAATCAACCAAAGACTTTTTGTTGAAGTGATTTAATAATAAGGTGCTATAACTAAGCAAAATATTAAATTTTAAGTTGATATATGCGTAATGATTAATGAATGAGTTGTAACAGTAATGGTCTGGGAGCAAGATTTTGTATTACACTTACCTCAAATATTGTCATTTAGCTTCTAATAAAGAAGTGCCATAAGTTAAGTCTTGTTTCCTGAATTTGTATTGATTTTGAAAGGTGGTGTTTTATGTTCTGCGGAATTTCCAGACCAAGGGATAGCAAAAGACGAGTGACTGATTTGAATAAATAACAAAAATAACTGATGATTCTCATTTTATAATCATTTTTGTTAGTTTTATTAATTAATTATTCATTTGGGTTATTGTAATAAATAATAATAAAATTAAGATGTAGCCTTGTAGTGATAAATAATAAATGCCATTTTCACAATATTTGCGAAATCCATTCCCTCCCTTACTTGTATGAACAATTTAATTATACACCATTCCATGCTATAAACACTCATAGAGAGATTGTTTTTCTTTTATATAAACTTTATTGTTTTCTAGAGTTATGAATTGTAGTACCCTTGAAGAATTTCCTCACCTATCTCAGGCCATAGGTATAAGTGATGTGATTAAGATTTGCGCTTTATCAGACCTTTTTTTCCTTGACTACTGCGTAATAGCTTTATTAAAAGTATATATTGTATGTACAATAATAGAATGTAATGTATACACTATTTAACAGTTCATTATTTTTAATGAACTTGATCAATTAGAGATCGGTGGCGGCAAAATAAAATACTAACAAATTATTTCACATGTAAGTACCACAACAACAAAATATTTCATTTTTAAAACCGGCAAATCATTTGTCGTAAAAATATTTTCACCATTTACTGAATAAAATATGTTTACTTTCGGCATCCATATTAATGGATTTCGCATTTAGTACGACGTAAGTATACTACTTAACCAATATAAATTAGAAATTTATTTGAGCGATTCTGAAGTGTGGTAGAAAAAGGTTTGACATGCCAAAGATCAAACCAAGTCGACGCTTTACTTCTATACTGCATTTTTTATATTTTAAAGAACTTTGGTACCACATTATTTACAACTGTACTCATATTTAACATCGACGCATTATTAAACCGTAATTAAATTAGTATATTGTAACGTAACATAAATTGGAATGACGTCGTCAAATTTGTGATTGGGATGAACATACTTATTTTGTTATAATTTTAACAAGTTCGCGATAATCTTACAAGTACACTAAGTTATACGGTTTTGTTTGTGAAGTGGCAAATAAGTTGTATGTGTCAGCAGAATGTAATTTATTCTATTTTTTGATTGAATGAAATCAGATGTATCCACACAGAATTGTAACACTATCTTCAGTTGTAATAGTTGCAACGGTTGTAACGTGATTATTTGCACCTGGAGTTTTCAGTTGTTTTCCAAATTAAATTGTTTTACTATACAGAAATAAGTATAGATCTAGGTAGTATAAGGAACGAAATTTTTCTGATGGATTAGGACCAGCAAAAAAATAAATATGTATGTAGGTTTTTTTCAGATTTAACGTATCTCATGCGAGGCACCAAAGAAAAGCGGTTTGAGACATTTGTCTCATGTCTAATATTTGTATAGAGCGGCACAGTAGTTAGTAACAGTTTACTATGCACTTTGTATGGGTTATGTGTAAGCCGCTTCGTTGTTACAGCAGATTCACTCACTATAGCCTAATCTTTTCTTGGTCAAAACGCGATTTCTAGGAATCTTGTCCTTTTCCGCAGTTGTTTTCTGAACAGAATGTCATGGTTCACGCGTGTACATGACTTTTTTACTTCCCGAACGTAAGCAAAAGAAGTATTGTAATCGAGTCCGTCGGCTAACTCTCTACTTTTACATTTTCTCGACCTTTCATGTCCCCTAGAGGACGAAGAAATAGGTCTCCCGTTTCCGTCTGTCTATCTGTCTGTCTGCCGTCCCGGATTTTTATTAGGCAGATAATCTCCGAAAGTACAGGGTCGATTGTATTTATATTAGGAATATCATGTAGATGGTAAAACGCTAACCAAAATTTGTCTAATCATCCCTACCAATATGTGATAAAATTGTGCATAGTAAATGGGTTAATCAAAATATATTTGCTTATACCCTCCAAAAAATTGATTACGTTAGTTTCGAGTGAAATAAGCGGTAGTTCATTCAGAGTGCCTCTCTTGGAACAGTTGAACTATTACCCCGAATTTACGTTTGTCTCTATATCCTATCATCAGAATTTCAGTTCGAAGAGTTCTGTTGAATATTTCATTTTATTGCAAAGTTTCAAACAAAAATATCGATTTTAACTAAACCACGGATTGTTAAGTGTTAATGGACAACGGCTTAAATTTATCTTAAAATATGCACAAACAAAAGGTTGTATGATAATATTGATAAGTCGATAACTTTGATTAACACCTGAATTCTGATAAATTTTAGTTTTATCAAGGAGCAATCAGCAACTTATATTATTAACGGTTTTCTATTTTTACTTCCCGAGCGTAAGCAAAGGAAATATTGTAATCGAGTCCGCCGACCGACTCTCTACTTTTACGTTTTCTCGATCTTTCATTAGCCCTAGAAGACGAAGAAATAGGTCTCCCATTTGCGTCTGTCTGCCGTCCCGGATTTTTATTAGACAGGGAATCTCCGAAAGTACTGGACCGATTGTTGTGAAATGTTGTACTTATATTAGGAATATCATGTAGATGGTAAAACGCTAACCAAAATTTGCCTAATCATCCCCACAACTAATGCGATGACGTCACTTCAAAATTGTACGTAGTAAATGGGTTTTAAATTGTATAAAATAACATAGTCCTACACATGTAGTTTACGACTCCGAATTGAGTTTTTACCCGAAACGTCCAGATTTTTGGAAAAAAAATCAAAATTATAAAACAACATTTTGCAATTTAATTTTAAATCTGCCAACCCGAATGCTTTGAAATGTTGCAGATGTTTTAGCGCTATAAAGAGCATCATAAATCTTTAGTCAAAATATATGCATTTGGTTATCCCCTCCAAAAACTTGATGACGTCAGCTCAAAAGTTTGCCGAATAAATCCGATCTAAAATGTACAAAATATGATGAGTCTGTACTTGTGATCTATCACTCCATTCATATTTTTTGGATTTGCATATACAGGGTGACTCAAAAAAATTAATGAATGCGTGAATTTAATTTATTGAGTTAGTAAGGAACTACAAAACCGAATGCTTTGAAATCTAGCAGATGTTTTAAGGTTATAAAAAACAAAATAAATGTTTAGTCAAAATATATTTGCTTATCCCCTCCAAAAAATTGATGACGTCAGCTCGAAAGTTTGCCGAATAAATCCTATCTAAACTGTACAAAATATGATGAGTCTGTATTTGTAATTTATCACACCATTCATATTTTTTGGATTTGCATATACAGGCTCACTCAAAAAAATTAATGAATGCGTAAATTTATTTTATTTATTTACTCAGCAACTACAAAACCGAATGCTTTGAAATGTTGAAGATATTTTAAAGTTATCATAAACATGGTAAGTTTTTGATCAAAATGTATTTGCTCATCCCCCCTAAAAAATTTATGACGTCACCACAAAATTTTGCTGAATAAATCCTATCTAAAATGTACAAAATATGATAAGTCTCTTCTTGTGATTTATCATTCCGTTCATATTTTTTCGATTTGCATATACAAGGTGAGACACAAAAAAAAATAATGAATGCGTAAATGTATTTTATTGATTTAATCAGGAACTACAGAACCGAATGTTTTGAAATCTTGCAGATGTTTTAAGGTTATAAAGAGCATAACAAATTTTTAGTCAAAATATATTTGGTTATCTTCTCCAAAAAACTGATGACGTCAGCTCAAAAGTTTGCCGAATAAATCCTATCTAGAATATACAAAATATGATGAGTCTGTACTTGTAATTTATCATTCCATTCATATTTTTTGAATTTGCATATACCGGGTGACTCAAAAAAAATAATGAATGCGTAAATTTATTTTATTGGTTTACTCAGGAACCACAAAACCGAATGCTTTGAAATCTACTGCGAAAAAAAAAATAGACATACAGTCGTCACGTTTCCGACAGCGAGGGAAGTACTGTCTAAACTCTTTAGACCAATTTTTTATTTATTTATTTTGAAATCGTATGAACCATTGCATTGGAACGGGTCTTTAAAGGTACTATTTAAAAATAACACAATGTAGAACAGCAATTTAAAAATAACTTGCTTATGAGGTAAGTAATTAAAATGCCATCAAATTTCAAACGTACCTACAAACAACAGAATAGACGCAAACTTGTCAAGTAATTAAAAAATAATAAAAATAAAGTTTTTGGATTCCTATTAACCTGTAAAGAAAGATCATAAAAGAAGGTCATAATTATTTATTGGTATTATTTAACAAGCATTTCTAAGAAATGTGTGTGTAACGAACAACGTGGGTTACTTGTAGATATTTGTTACGCGACGCGACGACTGAACGTTTAACAATTCGGTTTTTTTTGTGTGTTGACGTAATAGATAACATGTTTTGGACATCACTTGCCAATTATGTGTAAATTATAAAGTAATTATATTTCCCACTCTTCCCCAGCAATTACGAAACAATCGATAATATAACCTTACTTATACAAGATCAAATTAGATTTGCTTGATACAACCAGTATTTAAGTTTAAACATTGACGAAACTATCAAGAATTTGCATGAACAAAAATTCTACACAACAAGTAAGTATGAAAAATAAAATACACCGATAATATATACTTTTTTAAAACTAGACACGTGGTGCGAATGTGATAAGCGTTGCAGTGGCACAATACAAAAATGGCAAGTAAACTTCTGATAATTGGAATTAGTGGCGTGACATGTGGCGGTAAAACCACACTGTCATCTCGCCTCAAGGAATGCTTACCAAAAACTAGATTAATTTCGCAAGATGATTATTTTCTCGACGTCGATGACCCGCGACACACTTGGATATCAGAATTAAATCATATAAATTTTGACATATTATCCAGCTTAGATATGGAAAAAATGAACAGGGATATACAGAACATCGTCAGAAATACACATTTATTTAAAATTTCTAACATTAATAAAGGAAATAAAAACATACAATCCATAGAAACGTTTCAAAATTTAGAGGTTGCAGTTTACGAAAAGGTGAAAAAATCTAACGTTTATATACTTATTGTAGAAGGATTTTCAATATTTAATTATAAGCCTTTACAAAATGCATTCCATTTAAAGTATTATTTCACATTATCAAAAGAAGAGTGTTGGCAACGTCGCGAGCAGCGAGTGTATGAACCTCCAGATTGTCCTGGTTATTTTGAAAAGTGCGTGTGGCCCGAACATGAGGAGCAACTGAGAGAAGTACGTGAAGAAGTAACAGATGTAAAATATTTCGATGGGACATCCAATAATGCATTTGAATCAGTTCTTCTAGACATTGACAGCATTTTAGATTAATGAATGTTGTATAAGCTTCTACAATAAATAAAATTTTCTTGTAGCAAGTATATCAGTATTTTATTGTAAATAACCTCAGTACAATATAATTTCAATCATTACTTAATAGAAACACAAAAATAAATAATGTACAACGGTCTGAAAAAAATAATATTAAACTACAAAAAACACACAGTGTTCATAAGGTGACAATTTCAGTTATCAAGTTCATGAGCTGTTCTTTCCTTTTCGTATGAAAAAGCTTAAATGTCAATAAGTATACAAAAAAAATATATGAAAACTCAAATAACACTGAGCACTGAGAACTATAATAAACTTTTACATTGCATAGGTGCTTTTGCTTGGCTGTTCTTCATCCTGTACACCACTGGATTTTTTAACATAAAGTGGGTTGACTTGTATGTCTTCATCCATTGCAAGAATTTGTTTATCAAGTTCCATACATAGAGCTAATTGAGCTTCCAAGCTCTTCAAAACATCCGGACCTCCATATTTGTCAGGTTCATCTCTAAACACAACCATTCCATCTTTTTGATTGATAGTAGCATAAATTTGTTGATCCTCGATCTAAAACAGCATTTCAAGTGGCATTGTAGGTTCTAGAAATTACTTTTTCCTAATAACGTTGAAATTCGCTTTCAAATATGAACGTTAGTGGTAACAAAATCAGTAAATTCTTTAGTTTTTCAACGTAGTTGGAAAAAGTAGTATGTATGATATGCGACGATAGTATATTCTCCCCACTTGTGTAGATTCTACCATGGCCGACTAGTATAAAGATTATGGCCTGTCCAAGAGGTACGATACGTGTTGCCATCTATTAATAATTACACTTAATAATTTAGCAAAATTTTAATTTGACTTGACATTATGGGACTTCAAAACGTGTAATGGTGGTTTGTTTCGGTATGAATGCCTTTGTGCCTTTCAAAAGGTGTTAATAATTCTTTTGTCGTTTTTGAATTATTAATAGATGGCAGCACGTAATGTACCTTTGACATTCCTTTGGACAGGCCATAATCTTTATACTAGTCGGCCATGATTCTACAACTCATCTTTGGCTCGTCAGAATGCTTTCTACACTCATGAGGTGAAAATCCATAGTCTACAATTATTCAACAAATAACTATTACCATATGTAATATATAACGTTCAGCGTCAGATGGACCAGGAAGGCCAACTCTGCTAGCTACATCAGACAGACTCAAAGTCAGAAACGTTTTCGTCAGCCTTTGTATATTTTTCTTATAAAGCACTGAGGATACTTGCTTAACAAGACCTAAGTTGTGATCCCTGGTGAATGCCTTAAAAGCCCAATTAAAACGTGTTTAAAAAACAAACTGAAATATTTACCTCCCTATGTTTATTAAGTACAGAATTTAAATCTGCTGTATTATTTGATGTAAAAGAATTTGCTAAATCATTATAAGGCTGCGATAATGGTTTGATAAACCGAGTCACCACTTGAGAAGCATATTTAGGCACTGGTTGTATCTATAAGAATATTATAAATAAAATTTACTTACAGTTAAATGTAAACTTACTTTTCCATGTAGTAAAAGTGAAACTAAAATATATTTCTTGTAAGCTTCCAGCATAATATGAGACACAGCATGTGCGGGTGTTGTAATAGCAACCTCAAAGAAATAAAGCGCTCTATCTAAATTTCTTACTGCTAAATAAATCATTCCGCCATAATAATAATATAATAAGAAATATTTTGCGTCAAATTGGGCCCCATTAGGATTATGTACAATCTGAAATACACTTAGAAACTTATGTAAATTGGAAAATATACTTTTGTTACCTCTTGGCAAATTCCTGTTATATCAGTGTCTAAAATTTCTAGTGCCGGCTTAAAGCATTTAGCTAACAAACACAGCTGGCATAAATCTGCATGAATAGATGTTAACTGTGAATCAAAAAACCTTAGTTTGGATATTGCTTTTCTTAAAAGTAATATCCCCTTCAATGGTTGTTTTTGTTCAACTAAATAATTTGTTAACGAATGACAGAGTTCAGCAACTGGAAGAAAATTTGATATAGTTGATATTATTCTCTCATATATGTGCCGTACATGTATCAGGTGCTAAACGAATTTGTTCTCCGTTACAACCTTGGATAAATTCTTGGACTTGAGTAAACCGATTGTCTGGTGTGTTAGCGGGGACTGAAGTATTAAATTTGGCCAGTAGTACTACCAGATAACCAAGCGAATGTTGTTGCAAATCCAACGTTTCCAATACATTGTCTAAATGTTGAGTATTTTTCAAAAGAACATCCGAGGATTTACTTAAATATTCACAAAGAACTTTGTAGTTACCTGAAAACATAACCTCAATTGTACTGCCAGTTGTCGATATTTAGCTTGAAAATCACAAACCATGAGAAGAGAGTGTTCTAACATTTGTCACAAACTGTTCTAAAACAGATGCCATTTCATCCGGATGTAAAATAACTTGTTAAACTAAGAAAATGAATACTATTTTTATACACAGACCCAAAATTTGACAACCGGTAGACCAGATGAAATGACAATCAAGTACTACCACTGATAAAATTGGAAAGAATCTAAACATTCTAAACGACAATTGTTTGCACGTGTTTGGGCCACGATATTGGCAATCCTGTTTAGCTTCTATTTTGAGGTTAAGTTGTGAGTAATGTGGAGTGTGAAAAACTAACATGTGTTTTCATTAAAAACGAGATTCTGTTTACAAGAAAGGCACAATGGCTGAGTTTGAGGAATCAGTTAAAAGATTTTATCTGCGCATTAAAACGCACAAAACAGAAACACATTTTCCAGAAGATTGGGGTAGTTTAGTAGTAGAAGATCGATTTTGGAATCATATTCTCGATGTATCGCTAGACAGTGTATTGTTGAAAGAATTTTTTAGTGCCAAAACCCCTGAAGAAAGAGAAGAATATTTTAATTTTGGAGTTGAATGCTTTACGTGTTTTATTCAGTGTAATTTTACTGGTCCCGCTATCAAAGAAACTGTAGCAGAATTTCTATCAGGGGATAAGTTTCAACATATAGACTTTGCCGGCCGTTTATCGATGAACAATGAAGAAATTAACGTGAACACAAAGTTCCCAGTGCTTTTAGTGGTTTCAGAAATAATTTTTGATTCTTGTATCATCAACAACCTTGTTAATCTGTGGTGGTGCTGTCGAGCGTTGATGATTCATCAAGATATTTTGGACGAGTTAAGTCCCACTTTATTGTCCAATGCGGATCGTCTGAGTAAACTAATTCAAAACATTCCTTTGCAAGGTTTGCGGTATCATTATATAACAAATTTGAAAGTTCATTTCAATTTTTTTTCAGGTTTTATAAAGGCAGAATTAGATATTGAGTTAGCTCAACTTTATCTCAGATTTCGCCATGTTAGCAAAACCAAGGACTACATAACATCAGCCAGTGAGATATTGGGACTAGAATATAATTTAATAGGAAAGTTAGGCAAAAGAACTAAATATCAAACAGAAGATATAGCACAATTATCGCTTCAAGTAACACTCGCTGAGCGAGAAGGAATAAATAGACCTGTGGTAGAAAAACTAACAATTCCAAAAACTTTCGGACTTAATGATGATGTCAGATTAGATAAAGTATCATTTACTGATGGTTTTGAATTAACAAAGTTACCAAATGTAGAACAAAAACTTTTGTTGACTATAGTTCAACAGACTTTAATTTCTAGTCCACCTGATGAATTACAGGTTGAAGAAATATTACCAATTCTCGAGTTAATTCTAAATCAAAACAATACTTACTCAGTTCGCGTTATGGCTTTGCTATTACGATCTAAATTGGAGAGCAAAAATAAAAGAACAATTGAGAGATGTTTGAAACAGTGTGAGGATATTATTGGTTTTTTTGATAAGGAAAATCCATCAGCCATGATTAGGATTGGAGATATGTTTGGCACATGTTTTATACCAATATGGAAAGTGCGAGCTCAGTATGCTGATATGTTATTAAATTTTGGTTTGGTGAAGAATAGTTTGGAGATCTATTTAGAAATTCAGCTGTGGGAGGAAGTTATAGTTTGTTACACAATTTTAAAAATGAGAGAAAAAGCAGCTGAAACTATAAGGAAACAACTGGAAGCGAAACCTACAGTGAAACTAATGTGCTTATTAGGTAAGAAAAATATGTGTATTTTTAAAGATGATAATTATCTGAATTTTTTGTTTGAATTTCAAAATTTCTACTTCAAAGACAAATATCGTTGTCTTTGTCAAATACTTCTTCCATACAAAAATTATTTTATGTTGTAATCTAGAACTTTACCATTGACCAACTGTAAAATCTTCAATAACAAAAAACAAAAAAACTCGCATGTTGAAGTTTTAAAAACACTAATGCAAGAAGTTGCACTGTTAGATCAGTAGTGTTTGATTATATTACTTTTAAAAAGTTAAGATAAAATTGTTGAAATGAAAAATGCAGTACTGAAAAATATTACTTCTAATTTAATTTTAATAATATCGAGTTTTGAGACCAATAGATGCGGAATGACAAACAATTTATTCAGAATTCTATAAGGTTCATGTTCAACTTCTTCAAAAATCGGATAACACCGTCACGAATTCTTTCATATAAAATGCAGAAACATTCTAAAGTGTTTTGAAAATATTGAATATAGTTCACCAAGTATCGCTTGCATATTTTCAATAATTCCATATCCAGTGCTATTGTGCATGTTCAATATGATCTAAGAACACTAGCACTACTTTTACGTTTTCTCGACCTTTTATAACCCCTAGAGTACGAAGAAATAAGTCTCCCGTTTCCGTCTGCCGTCCCGAGGCAGAAAGTACTGGGCCGATAGATGTCAAATTTTGTATTTGTGTTAGGAATATCATGTGGATTTTGCCGAATAAATTTTATCTAAATTGTACAAAATATGATGAGTCTATACTTGTGATTTATCATTCCATTCATATTTTTTGGATTTGCATGTACAGGGTGATTCAAAAAAATTAATGAATGCGTGAATTTATTTTATTGATTGAAATCTTGGAGATGTTTTAAAGTTGCCATAAGCATGGAAAATTTTTTGATCAAAATGTATTTGCTCCCCCCCCCCCCCCTAAAAATTGAACGCTACCTCAAAATTTTGCTGAATAAATCCTATCTTAAATGCGCAAAGTATGATGAGTAAATACTTGTGATTTATCACTGCATTAATATTTTTTAGATTTGCTTATACGGGGTGCCTCAAAAAAATTAATAACTGAGTCAATTTATTTTATTGATTAAATCAAACATTGCAAAACTGAATACTTTGAAAACTTGTAGACGTTTTGAAGTTATTGTAGGCATGGTAACTTTGTAATCAAAATGTATGTGTTTTGATTACATCATCTCGAAATTTTTGCCGACTAAATCCTTTCGAAAATGTGCAAAATATGATCAGACTATACTTGTAGTTTATAATTACATTCATATTTTTTAGATTTGCTTATACAGGGTGAGTCAAAAAATTAATGAATCAGATAATTTATTTTAAGTTTCCTCCTCTTTTGTCACATTATACACGACTCCGTAAACTAAGCGTTATGAGTGTAAGATTTGCTTTCCCAGTGGAAGTCCCAAGTACGAATCCTACAGCGTTGAAAAGAATTTTTTTTTTTCATCAAAAAAAGGCACCCGATTTTCTTCACAATGTGAGAATACAATAGATACTGCCATTATTTATCATACTGTACTTATCCGTGTGTTTTACAACAATTCATAGTTTTCCATTGTTATTAGCATAATAGATCAATCACTGCAATGGATGAGAGAGGATATCGACAATTGTGAAACCAATACGAAAAAACTTTTTCTTACTGAGTTTTATATTTTTCTATGTTTGTCACCTGTCTCATTATGATTTCCGACCAAAGATATTACACATATACATATGAATGACTTCCTGAGCCTAAGCTAAGGAAGTATAGTAATCGAGTCTATCAAGCGACTTGCCACTGCCATGTTTTCTCGACGTTTGAAGACCCCAAGAATACGAAAAAAGTGGTCTCCTTTTTCCGTCTGCCTGTCGTCTGTGTCAGTTTTTATTATTCACAATGACCGTCCCAATTGCTATCAAATTTTATACGTGTATTACAGGGGCGGCTGGTCAGGGGCGGCAGGGGCGGCCACGCCGTACCAGTCATTTTAAAATACTTAGTAAGCGTTGAAATTAGAAAATAAAAAAAGAAATAAAGTTTGAATGTACGTTAGGATAGATCATATATATTAAAAATATATTTTATTATATTGTAGGTACAAAATAAAGCATTTGTTGCTAATTTTAAATGCTGATAAACACGCTTTGCCGGCGAGATTTCGGCACGCCGTACCCAGGAATGCATTATGCTCGATGTTTCGACTTCGTAGCAGCTTACGGTTTCATCGTTCCCTTTGTCTAGTACACTGTAGTAGACAAAGACCTGGCGGAACGTATGTTGTGCCAGGTCCGGCGAAATCCTCCTTCGCCGTACCCAGCAACGCGAATTTAGTTTTTAAAACGCTTAATATTTAAGATAGCTAACCAAATTACAAAACAATAACGGCTTCGATGTTCTTCAGTGCATCCTATTTTTTTTTAATAATAATAATTGTCGATTTAATAATACATTTTCCTGTGTATGAATAATAAACGAAAAAAATTACATTAAATTATCTAAAATTTTATTTTTCGGACATAACTTAGCTACAACATAAATGCGCTTTTTCTGTATTTTTAGCATCTAAGCGTTTTCAGATATTTCAGAAACGAATTTAAAGTTTTAAATCATTTTAATTTTTCAATTATTCAATTAATTTATTTGACAATTTGTCATATACATTAAAAAAAAAATAAATGTAAATGAAGATAGTTAACAGTTGGTACTTTTATTATTACTTTTTTTATATTTTTTAACTGCATGTCATTATTTAATTATTATTATTTAATTGTGGATGTCCGGGGTCGGCAAGCCGTATAGCCGCCGGTCGACGCGGAACTCAGTAAAAATAATGTTTTCGGTGGTTCTCAATTAATGATAAAGCAGAACAAGTAGAATTAAGGATTAATAGTATTTGGAATCAAACTGACATTGTCAATTTCCTATAAAAAATTATTTTAACAGGTCGAAACATTTGAGATGTTTTGTACATCCTGGCACGTAAAATGTCAGTGGTTAATGAGTAGCAGCCATACATTACGAAAATATATAACACCAAGGTGTAGACTCAAAATATTTGGCCGACCCGGAATTTTGACCCACCAGCCGCCACTGGTGTATTAGGAATAGCGTGTAGATGGTAAAACACTAACCAAATGTTGACTGATCATCCCCATCACCAGTAGGATGATGGATGACGTCATTCAAAAATTTGCTATTGTAATTTTTTTTTTTTTAATTTTATAAAATACGATACTTCTGCACTTGCGGTGTATAACTCCATGCTGCGTTTTCACGTCTTCGACATCCAGATTTTTGGGGGGGAAAAAATTAAATTGTATAACATTTTGCAATTTAACTTTGAAACTGCAAAACCGAATACTCTGAAATCTTGCAACCGTTTTAAGGTTATCGTAGTCCTGTAAATCGATAATCAAAATTTATTCGTTTATCCCCTCCCAAAAAAATTATGACTCGTCCCAAATTTTTCCGAATAAATTCGATTTCAAATCTGCAAAATATTATGACTCTATACTTGTGATTTACCAATGGATATAGTTTTTAGAATTACTTATACAGGAGCACTAAAAAAAAAAATGAGTGAGTGATACAATTTATTGTATTGATTAAGTTAAGAACTACTCACTGCATATGTGCAAACTGATATATAGTCCTTGCAAAAATGTTGATGACGTTATCACAAAATTCTTTATTGGAAAAACTGACTTGAAACAAACATGTAGCACGTTTCTTTATGTTTACTTTAATATTGCATAATATCTTTATTTTAATTCATAAGGGTTATCATAAAAAAATTAAATTCGCAAAATCAAATGATTTTCGAAAAAGTGGACTTGGGGGCGAGGGAAGTTCTTTCGAAATAACTTTCGACCATTTCTTTTTAATTGCATTCCAATAAAAAATGTGAAACTAGAATTTTGAAAAAACATAACGTCACAGAAGCCAAAAAAATGTCCATTAAATATTCGGTTTAATGTAATAACGTATAATGGTATTCAGAATCAATTACCGTTGTATACTTTTTTATGGAACTATTGTACTCCCAGTTTAAAGTGGTTTTTATGACATGATAATAAACATTATTACCACGACGGACAGTATGAATTGAATAATAAAATACGGCCCTGCAAGAAACCGACCACTTTCTTATTTAAGGCTAGGGATTTACTCCATTGTCCCCATCATCAACTTCGACACAATGGACCTATCATAAAAAGCACTTTAAACTGGGATTTTTACTTTATTCTTCAAACTAATAATAATAGGACCTTTTTTTGTATATGAATTTTGCGAATTGTTAATTATAATCGTTTTTCTGTTGCAGGTGATGCAACTGATGATGTGACTTGTTATGAGAAAGCTTGGGAAATGTCGAAACGCCGAAGTCACCGAGCTCAGAGACATTGGGGTCAGTTTTTATTTGCGCGCAAAAAATATGAAGAATGCATTCCACATTTTGAAAAATCTCTTAGTATAAATCCTTTGCAATCAAACATTTGGTTAGGCCTGGGATTTGCAGCTCTCCAAGTAGAAAATTGGCATACTGCCGCAACAGCATACCGACGCTACACTACTTTAGAGCCGGACGGTTTTGTGGCGTGGAACAACCTAGCCCAAGCTTACTTGAAGATAGGAAATAAACGCAGTGCACACCAAGCCGTTCTTGAGGCTTTGAAGTGCAATTTTGAAAATTGGAAAGTGTGGGAAAATTTGCTTATAATAAGTTGTGATATATCCAACTTCTCTGATGTAATTCGCGCTTACCATCGACTGATCGATCTAAAAGAAAAGTATTTAAATATAGAGGTGCTAAATGTTCTTGTGTACAGCGTATGTAATGATTCAAACGATTTTGATGGTAACTCTGCGCGGCAATTTTTACAGAAAACTCGGGAACTGGTCGGCAGAGTTACCGCATTGTATCCAAACAGCGGTGCAGTATGGGAATTATATGCTAGTTTAGCTCCAGTTCTATTGCTTAGAGCTCAACGTCTGCAAAGAGCCTACAGGGGATATACACAAGGTGCTTGGGACAAAAATCCAAAAACTTGTTTTCATGTATTGAATGTTTGTAATAAGTTAGGAGATATCGTGCTTGATGATGAGATCGATCCAACAAATACAATTGTAAGTTCAATAAAACTGAACCTTTCTGCTGCGTTGACAGCTGTTAAGAAGTATAATTGGGAAGAAACTGCAGCATTAGTTGAAGAGGTGTCCACTCAGTTAGATCTAATTTTGGAAAAAATGAAAAAAGGAACTGCTGCATTTAGGGTTGATGTCAATTAGCATTTATTTATTTTTTACTTTGTTTAATCATATTACCGCTCCTATTAAAATATAAAAAATAGTTTGTTTTTCCATTTGGCCCTCTGCGACGTAAAAAGTAGAGCCACTGCTAACTTCCCGTTTCCTTCACATCCTCCACAACTACTAGTGCGAAGAACAGGTTTCTCGACCAAACTGCGAGATTGTTGTAAATACATTTACGAAATTTTCCGCAAACTTAACATTTTTATTTGTACTACTTAACTTAAAACTGAATTCAGTTCACTCCAGTAAAACTCCCGTAATATTAAATGCAATAGGTATAATAAGTTCTTACGTACTTTGAAATTTAAATAAACGAATACAACTCTCCACTTTTGTCCATTGTTTAGACTAAGAAGAGTTAAAAATCGAAACTGTTGGTGTTTTTGATAGTGCCATGAATAATTCTCCACAGTATTCTTTTCTGCTAGACTCCAAACCACAATATACGACGTCTTTTTGTAACATACCTAGTCCATGTACCGTGTGTTTGAAAAAAAGTCCAGCATACAGAATGGTGTGGTCAAATTAAACAGTTTTAAATATAGGTGGAATTAGAATTAATTCTACTGCAATGCCTCTACCTAACCTCCGGTTCCTCCCGATCTGATTTGAAAAATTGATGTTCAACGTTCATTTGTTTTTTGTTTGCGACATTCAACATTTTTTAATGACAATAACACCCTATATATTTTTTAGAGATTCTCGTACTTTTTTTAAATTCTTTGATGTATCATGATGTCATTTTATTAAAAAGTTGTGGCAAAATTTAATTAAATTTTTGTCTCAAGACTGCACCGAATTTATTACCGCAATTATTTGCATCTACAATCATTGTGTGAACTTAGTTTTGTTGTTGTTGTTGGCATGTTCAGAAGTATTTAATTTTAATAATTAATTTTCTTCTACACGAAAATAATATAAATAAAAAATGTTATAATGAAAATCTCTACAAGAGTCCCAAATACAGCCTGTTATTGAAAGGTACGTACAAAATAAAATCGGCAATTGGTCTCGAAGTACCTATAGGTGCTAAAAGTTAAAAAAAGTTCAGGTAAAAGTGTTCTTCTTTTAGAGATAAAAATTTTTAAAGTTTATGTCCAAATTCGTTGTACGCCTCTGATAAAAAGATCATCTTTCGTTTCTGTAGCAACATTTAGTCTTGACAAAAGTTTTATTGTTATCGTTGCTAGGATTTACTAAAATAAATTAATTTTATCTATTTATCCTTCAGTAGCGTCTAAAAAGGTTGGATAAGGGTTATTAATTTTCCCGTTATAATTTTGATAACACAAAATAAGTTTTTCCGACTTCTTAGACTTCGCGAAGAACTGTCTATTTTGTTGTACGTACCTTTCAATAACATCCTGTATATACGTGTATGTAGGGTGTCATATAGAAAAATTGATATCGTAGACAAAAAAAAACATCGATTGTTCCAATCATGTTGGAGTATTAATTTAAAACGATTTAATTTGACCTGTCATACAATCATGTACCCAAATAAATAAGACAGCTACAGGCCTGAGCTTTTTTTCAAACACACTTTATGTTACTACCATATCGCATTAGATTTATTACTTCAGGTTTTAGGTGATCAATTCAGAAATGCCAACACAAAAGTTTGCTTGGTATCAAGTCACCCAGAATTGTACGATTTTTTTAATGCAATTTTTAACTTCCTATCACTGCTCTAAGCGTATTTCTTGAACGCTCGATTTTTAGATATGGGATTCGTGGTTAATTCAAGTATATGCATCTATGTAAAAATATATTTTGTTATAAAAAAGTTGACCACTGCTGCATTCAAACAGAATGTTTGTGAATACTTAGTTAGGGAATAGATTATAATGAATTGAAATGAGAAATCTTGCTTCAATCACGTTTATTCATACACTTATTTATAAAAACCAAGCTCCGAATAGCACGTTGTAGAACAGGTGTGGGTTGCTCAGCGAGTTTCAAAGGCACTTCTATATTTACAGATTTGACCTGGTTCAAATGTGAGGGTAATCCAATCTAGAAACAACAATATGGTGAAACGTACATCCTAAGAAAAATTATAACAAAATTTTCACATAACGTTATCAGACAAACTGTTAATAATCAAAAAATTCATAGCGTATATTAAGCCATCATTAGAAAGCATTGCAGTCGGCTATTAAAACTTAACGCAGGCATAACAGAAGCTCTTGAAATTTGTGCATTTCTGACAGTACATGATGTGGTTTTTACAAAAAATTAATAACGAAAAAAAAAAGAAAACCTACAGGATCGATTTTAGACCGATGTGTCTCCTGAGGCAGAATATAAAAATGGTGTTTTTGGGTTAACTACCAAAGTCACGTTGGCGCTAACTTAACAGTTATGCCTCTTTATCATCTAAAGCCGGTTCTGCTTATAAAACTTGCCTGTTTCAAATAATACTTACGTTCTGATTTCCTCGTCCAGTTAGAAGAACCTGAAACATAACACAAAGATAATTTTAATTGAACACTAAGTTATAACAAAACGCTAATAGGTTTTCAGTGAGGGCAAGTGATAATCATGAATGTAATTATTCCAGTCATAATAGCGTATACTATTATTATCATCATGAAAAAAATGTAGCATGCTTTGTGTAAACTAGCTACTAATATTGCAGCTTGTCTACCTAAGCCGTTTCACAGTTTCAAAGAATAATAAATCACATGCAAATGTGACGATTGTATTGAACTACTCCGATTTTTTTTTCCTGAAACTACCAAGTAATGTCAAAAATGCAAGACCTATTTGAGACCTGAAAGTTAATCACTCCTTGTCTAAGACCATAAAATTTTTCCACTTTTGTCAAATCTTTGAATTTGTTCAAAAATAACAAGAATTAAGAAATGATAATCTAAACTGTTAGAATGGTTCTAAAGCAAAATCAAAAGTGTTATTTTCTGACAAATTAAAAAATTTGACAAGTCTAAGTGACGAAAGTGCCATAGGCTGGGAAATCATAAACTTTCACGTTTCATTTGCGACTTATTAGTCTTGCATCTTTTGACATTACTCAATTTCACGAAAATAACTATTAAATTTTTAACACTCACAATTAAATCATATGGGGATTCGAGAGATGTACTGTGAATAATAAGTTTACAACCGTCAGCTTATCAAACTTGATAAGGTTTAGCTAAAAACTCACCTAGGGATATCAGATGAAAGAAGTTTTCATACATCTTGGTAGACAATTTCTGCAAATAAAAAATGAAATACGTTAAATACACATTCATTCCTAAATAAAAGTTAATGTAACAAAAAAAATATTATCAGTTGATATTCTTCAGCATATTAGATATGACAGGGATAACTATTGTTCATCATAAAATTATATGAAGTTATAGTACAATCTAAACATTCAGACAACACAGTATTCTAACACTTGAAACAGTCAATACGGTATGAATCATTCAAAGGATAGAATAAAATAGGTGTCCCTATGAAATTGGATACATAGCCAACTCACACAATAATTTTATTTTTATAGTATAGATTACTTAGGTACCAAATCAAGATTTCTTAGGCAACCCTATAATATTCACATACTACTCTGAGCTCTAAAATTTGGTTCCAATTAGATGTTTTCATATGCAAATTAAATAATTTCACCTATATGTAAAAAGATAACTCTATTGTTTGTGAAATGTTACTATACATACTACTTTTCTTGAAAATACCAGCTCATCAGAAATAAGTATAGTGATTTTAAGATCGCCTCTCCAGTTACGATTTTTTTAAGTAGTTTACAGAAAACGCTATAATTGAAACTTCAAAAAATATTCTGATATAGTATTTACCTGACTGTTGACTTAAACTGGCCATTGTCCAAGCTGCTTCCGCCTCCTACAACAAAGTCCTAAGAATTAATAACCACAGAAAAATGCAAGATATTGAAACGATTATAATTAGGTATCAGGTACGAAAAAGCAGCCATTGGTATAATCATAACGCTCAGACGGTAATTACTATCATCATTTATATGTAAAAATACAGTCTTTTTTCATTAATGGACATGCCTTACCTTAAAAATCACGTCTTCCGCGTTTACCAAATGACGAAAAATACTGTACTAAAACAAGTTAATCCAGTTAAATTTAAACTTTCAACAAGGTAACACACTCTACAAATGGATTTGCTCAGATGGCAAAGTAATCATAGTCAATCAGATTGACCAGGGCGTGAATCATAGATTCATCACAATCATGAAATAATTAATTTAAGAAAATAATACTGGAGGATTAAACTAAAAATGCGTTACGTTGGAGGACTTTTGTTTTTCGTTTATACGCTGTACATTTTTCATAAGTATTTAATTCGTTTCTTTGCAAAAATAAAATTATTTCAAAATCAATGTTCTCATTATGGAAATTTTTCGTGTTGATCATAAGATCAATACACACGCGTTTCGTTCTTACGCTATAAAATATACTAAACTATAATAATAACCGCTTTACAATGACGGTACTTACAGAAATCCTTCATGTGATCCATTCTAATAGCACAGTTTCATCCTTGTTAACCTGGGAACAAACCATAATTACCACACTGAATTATAGACATTTTCGATTTTCAGAATTATAAAACTATTACGTTGTTCAGACATAAGTTATCAACAAGAATATTCAGTCATATGCTTGTCTATTAAAAAAATCATCATTATACGCATTACTAAACATATCAAAAGTGAAAACTTGAATGTGTCATTTTGCACGTTTTTGGCTATCAAATTAATTGGCTCTGGCGAATATTGCACTCATGAAAAGGAAACCCCAACGCTAAAATAAAACTGAAGATAAATTTACATTCAAAGTTCTCTCTAAGACTTTAATTTCTATGAGAAGCTATTGTTGCGTTGTATTTTTGTGTAAAAAATCAAAATACATTTTCCAAAAATTTAACAAAATACGCAAGAACTGTACAGTTTCATACTACTGATAAAAGTATAAATAGGACAAAATCTGAATATGAACAAAAATCTTTTACAAAATTGTAGGCGTTAGAGACAAAGTATTT